AGTACTCGCATCAAATAGCCAATAGGTTAGCCTCAGAGAAGGGTTTTCCCCTTAACACGGGACACATTTACCCTTCCAATAGAGCAAGGTTAAAACTTAGGCTAACCCAGGACCCCAAATCCAGGCCCTTTTAGAACGTAAGGGCCCAGATCCCTAGGGAAGCCCAGGCTCTGCTAAGCACATCTGTGGAGAGGTGAGGGCAAAGGAAGCTTAGCGCCGGCTCAGAGCTGCTCTAACTTACCAATCAGCAGTAACAACTTCCCGGGGTCATTCCAGGGGTCAGGGATCACTGGTGTGCAGTGTTTTGGCAACACCCCTTGCATGCCCCTATGCTGGGGGGATGCTTAGAGGCAGGCCGCAGAGCTGACTTTGCCAGCTTTCCACCAGCAAATTCCCTATCCTAGGTGGGGAGCTCTGGGGACTACACCATGCGCAATGAACTCGCCCTGTGTATGCTAGAATTCAAGGCCTTACAGAGCATTTTATTCCACCAGGAAAAGGAGGGAGGAGGAGACAGAGAATCAGTATTTCGTTTGAAAACTCATTGGCTTTGTTTCCCTGGCAAAATGGATTCTAGTTGTAGCGACACCTCCTGCTCTCTGTAAAAAGAGAGACATTGGGAATACAGACCTATAAATATTGAATCAGCTGACTGGGAAGCCTACAAAGCACTTGTGAGCTCTGGCAAATACAAAACATGCATTAAAAACAGCACAAATCCGTGGCCTGCTTGAGAGACCAGCACTGCTCTGATCTAGCGGATCATGGAACAGGGCCCAGGGCCAACATATCTTCCCTGCACTGTGGCAAGCTCACAGCAGCGCCACTAGCTTCGCAGATCCCACAGCCTCGGAGGTGGCTCCCTGTTCTGAGTCTGTCTAGCAGATGCCGACGGGTAAATTCCGGTATCCCAGCAGAAATACCCCCTTCTTCTAGCACCCAGGGTTGATCGCCACAGGTAGCAATCCGAGTCTTGGGCATGCCGCGGCAGGACTTAGCCTGGCTGTTGCAGCATGGGACAGGTACATCCGCCCCCCAACGCTTTCCCTCCTCCTCCCCCGAGAACTCCAGTCTGGAGGTCGTTTAGGAAGCAGGGGGGTAAAGGGTCCCTGTGGATCCTAGATATAGTTCTACTGCTCCCCTTAAGAAATACGAGCTGGGATCCCCAACCGAGCAGGCAGGAGAGGCGGCAGCTCCACAGACAGGGGGCAGGATTTGAACTATACCTTGGAAGCTGTTGCAAGTGGGCAGAAATGCACAGGCTTTTTCTTATCTGCTTTGTGATGAGGGAAGGATTAAACCATGGGTCTTGGTTCCATGATATTATTTTGAGCTATTAAATGCAAGGAACTATGGGTCCAAGTCCCTCTCTCCTGTAAAAACCAGTGGGATGGGAAAACTGCTCCAAACCGTCAGAAGACTGCCCTGGCAGAGGGAAAGCACGAGCTCCCCTCGTCCTGGGCAGCGGCTTGCTGGCTTTCTAGAGCAAGTGAAAGCTTGGGCCCTGGTGTGGGTTAATTCCTGCCGCATGGAGGACATGACTCTCCCTCCCCAGGCACCTGGTGCAGTCGTCGAGGATACCAGTGCAGTGAGTGTAAAATGGCACCATCCCCATTTGGCAGTGCTCTGACAGGCACTGGTCCCTACGGCTGCCCAAGGAGCAGGGCAATAAAGAATCGGGCTCAGGGCCTGGATAGTCTCTGCTAGTTTGTCCTGTTGATTGTTCATACCGTCCTGCTCACCTTGCCCATACATGGATGGAAAAACAAAAGCAGGAGCCCAGCCCGGAGCCGGGTAGCTCCTTTTTAGGAAGGCGCCTCTAGACACAGTACTGGAGTCAGGTTCCCAAGTCAAGCTGCTTCTCCCTGCACATCTCCCCAACACGCTGTCCCTAGATACCTCTGTAGCCCTCAGCACCAGAGAATGGGAGCGTCTCTGGTGGGCAGAATCCCTCTAGCTCTAAGCCACACCTTCCTCACCACATGGGACCAGCCAGCCACACAGCATCAGCCCCAATGTGGCTTGAAACCTCTGCTGCAATTTCTCCCCTTGAGCTGGGCTCAGCGCTCCTCAGCTGCAGTTCAGGATCTGGGCCTCTATTTGCACAACTGCACATAGTTACCAGCCAGCCGTTCTATTAGAAGCTAATATTTTCAAGGGTTTATAAATCAGCCTTCAAAATTCCTTCCAGCTGAAACTTGGCATGCACGCCTTTGGACTGGGAAAACATTAATTTCTACCAAATTTGGAATAAATCTATGTGGATGTTTTTATATTACAGGAGGGTAAAAAATAGAGCTACTGGTTCTGTAAACAATATTTATGGCCATGTTTTGTAAATTGAAAATGGCGCTGTTATTTAAACTGAAATTTTGCAGCTCATTGATTCATCACGTAGATCAACCCAGGGTAGGTCGGAAGTATCTTTGTGAAAGCAGGAGCTAGTCACACAGAACAGGCAGTGCTCATAAATGTCCAGTATT